TGTGTTTGTGTGTGTGTGTGTGTGTGTGTGTGTGTGTGTGTGTGTGTGTGTGTGTGTGTGTGTGTGCGTCTGGCACACATAAAGATGTGTGTATGAGCTTTGATCAACATCTGGTGGTTTTGTCTATGTGTACATACAAATTGTGCCATAATTTTTTTGACCACTCATCTGTGAATGTTTGCTGGAAGTTGTTAAAGAGGACTGGTGTCTGGTTTAAATGTCTTAAGTTTGACAAGTGTTCAACAGGGCTTGACACAAAGAATGACAAAGTACCCTAAAGTTACATCCTTTTTATTCATTTGACTGATCGGTATAAGATAATACTTTGTAGATACCTTTTTTACTTGTTTGTTTGTTTACCAGTAGTTATTTTAACTCATTGTTCAATTTGTTCGACTTTTAGCCTCAGTGTTTGAGCACAATCACTGACTGGTTATTACACAACTCAGCTTACAGTTCAACACAATGAGCAGTGGATGCAAGTATTACACTGTATAAAATCAACCTCTGACTGGATTGGTCAAAGTGAACCTAAGTCTAAATTTAGGTGTGGTCAGATCAAGTCTAGATTAACTGTCACCTGTTCTGGGCAATCCCTAAAGGTTTTAAAACAAAGCATCTTGATCCAAAAAAGTTCAATCTGGTCCTCTGGATATTCAAAAGCAGCTTGATTTTTTTTCTCTAGTTGAACACATCGGTATTCCCATTTGGGGAGTTGTGTACTAGGATGCATTGTGTCATCAATGCCATCAATCATCCCACATCAGTGATTGTTCTTCAGTCTTTGTGACAACAATATTAAATGTGATGATTTCCAAATGTTGGCAAAGTAACTGGCTCCACAATGAGCTGCAGGAAGTGAGATTGGTAGTTCAAAGTGAAATGTTACTTGTGCTGTGTAAATGTGTGTACAGCTGCTGTGACTGTACTGCTCTGATGTGGACATTTGCCTTGTTGGGTTTTAAAAAGGCAGGGAAACTTCATGTCTGTGTTCAAATGTTAAAACACTGTCAATAAAATAAAATGTTCTTTGATTTTTTTCTTACAAAAAAAAAGATCTCATTAAGAGTTTATTTAATGTAAACATCAGCCTTGTGTTGAACACTTAGACAGGATGCTTGTTTGAAATCGAACATGCGTCAACAATAAGAAACTAATTTAGCACATTCTCAAAATGTGTGATTATATGACCAGTTCTTATCATTAGACGTCGACCAGCTCAAGTCTTTGAAACTGACTGGCTTAACGTAACCTGTTTGTGTTGGCTAAAGTTGATATGCTGTGGAAGCCATTTTGAATGGTGTTGACTCCAAAAGCCAAGTCAAGTTAAGGTTCTTTATCGTCAATCTCATCACATGTGGTACATGTGATGGAACAAAATTGTGTACACAGGGTCCCAGTTACATCCAACAAAAGTATAAATTGTAAAGAAAAACAGTAATAAGATCTAAGATATGAACTAAGAAATACGCTAAAACTAAGAATACACTAAACACTAATAGTACAAAAGAATACACTGATCAGCAGCACGAACATGAGTCTGTGTGAGCAGATGAGTACGAATGAACACAGCAGCGTGAAATAAATCAGCAGCATGAGATCAGCATCATGTATAGTCAGCAGCACATATCAACAATCAAGTGGCATTACAGTGATTTTTTTTTTCACAGTGATTATTCTAGTTAGAGATTCATGAGTCTAACAGCCTCAGGGTAGAAGCTGTTCCTCAGTCTAGTGGTTCTACACTTAATGCTCCTCAACCTCCTTCCTGGGGGGAGCAGGTCAAAAAATGATGTGCTGCGTGTGCTGGGTGGGTGGGGTCCTTCATGATGCAGGTGGCACCTCTTCCTGCATCTGGAGGTGTAGATGTCTGTGATGGTGGGGAGACTGATTCCAACAGATTTCTGTGCAGCCTTCACCACTCTCTGCAAAGCTTTTCTTTCTGCAGCTGTGCAGCCTCCATGCCACACGTTGATGCTGGAGCACAGGATGCTCTCCACTGCACACCTGTAGAAGGAGGTGAGGACTGAGCTTCCAGACCAGCTCGTCTCAGCCGCCTGAGGAAGTAGAGTCTCTGATGAGCTTTCTTGATCAGGCTGGTGGTGTTGTTGCCCCAGCTGAGGTTGTCATTTGAGTGCACACCCAAGTACTTGTAGCTGGAGACCACTTCATCTTCAGATCCTCCTAAATGCAAGGTGTGTGTGTGTTTCATCTGAAGTCCATGATCATCTCCTTCATCTTCTTCACATTGATGTGAAGGTTGTTCTTCCTGCATCAGCTCTCCAGATGTTCCACCTCCTGCATGTAGCCAGACTCACCAGTGTTTGTGATGCATCCCACCACTGCTGTATCATCTGCAAATGTTACAATATGGCAGCCTGGATGGGTAGGTGCACAGCCATATGTGAGCAGAGTGAACAGGAGGGGGCTCAACACACAGCCCTGAGGAGAGCCAGTGCTGATAGTTATGATGGAGGAGGAGAAGTTGTTGATCCTCACTAACTGTGGTCTGTTTGTTAAGAAGTCTAGGACCCAGTTGCAAATGGAGGAACTTAGTCCTAGTGTGAATAGTTTGTCCATCAGGGTTTGGGGGGTCATGGTATTGAAGGCAGACATGAAGTTCACAAAGAGCACACAAACATAGGAGTCCTTCTGCTCCAGGTGGGTGAGAAGAATGTGAACCACAGAGGAGATGGCGTCCTCTGGTAATCGATTCTTACAGTATGCGTACTGGTGAGAGTCCTCGCTGATGTTGATGGTTGTTTTGATGTGGATCATGACCAGTTTTTCAAAGCATTTAGTGAATATCAGGGTGAGGGCCACTGGCCGATAATCATTCAGACCAGTCACTGTAGAGCTCTTTGGGACTGGGATGATGGTGGTGGTCTTCAGGAGGGTGGGAACTGTTACCAGGGTGAGGAAAGAGTTAAAGATGTCAGCCAGCATCTCACAGAGCTGATCGGCACAGTCTTCCAGCACCTTCCCAGGGATGTTGTCTGGGCCAGTTGCTTTGTGAGGATTAATCCTCCTGAAGGTACTCCTTACTTCAGCTGAGGTCACACTGAGAAACTCCTCTTCCAGTGGTTAGGTGAGTCTGGTGCTGGGAAGTCTGTTTGGATTTTCAAAGTGTGCATAGAACTTGTTGAGGGCATCAGGCAGTGATCAGTCCCTAGCACATTATGCACCTCTGCCTTTATAATCTGTTGCATACAGGTGCTGGTCATAAAATTAGAATATCATGAAAATTTTGATTTACTTCAGTAATTCTATTCAAAAAGTGAAACTTGTACAAAGTATATTATATTCATTCATTACTCACAGACTGATATTTTTCAAATTTTTATTTCTTTTAATGTTGATGATTATAACTGAAAACTAATGAAAACCCCAAACTCAATATCTCAGAAAATTAGAATATTACTTAAGACCAATTAAAAAAAAGGATTTTTAGAAATGTTGGTCAACTGAAAAATATAAACATGAAAAGTATGAGCATGTACAGCATCAATACTTAGTTGTTGCTGCTTTTGCCTGGATTACTGCAACAATGTATTGTGGCATTGGGTCAATCGGTCTGTGGCTCTAGTGCTCAGGTGTTATGAGCCCAGGTTGCTCTGATAGTGGCCTTCAGCTCTTCTGAATTGTTGGGTCTGGCATATCGCATCTTCCTCTTCACATTACCTCATAGATTTTCTATGGGATTAAGGTCAGGCGAGTTTGCTGGCCAATTAAGAACAGGGATACCATGGTCCTTAAACCAGGTACTGGCAACTTCGGCACTATGTGCAGGTGACAAGTCCTGTTGGAAAATGAAATCTGCATCTGCATAAAGTTGGTCAGCAGCAGGAAGCTTGAAATCTCTTAAACTTCCTGGTAGATGGCTATGTTGACCTTGAACCTTAGAAAACACAGTGGACCAACACCAGCAGATGACATGGTACCCCAAACCATCACTGACTGTGGAAACTTGACACTGGACCTCGAGCAATGTGGATTCTGTGCCTCTCCTCTCTTCCTTCAGACTCTGGGATCTTGATTTTGAAAGGAAATGCAAAATTTACTTTAATCAGAGAACATAAATTTGGACCAGTCAGCAGCAGTCCGAGGCGAGATGCTTTTGATGCTGTCTCTTGTTCAAGAGTGGCTTGACACAAGGAATGTGACAGCTGAACCCCTTGTCTTACACACGTCTGTGCGTGGTGGTTCTTGAAGCACTGACTCCAGCTGCAGTCCACTCTCTGTG